TTTTTTTTTTTTTTAATTTCATAACACGAAATGACCCAACAAACTGTTCTCTATTTTCTAATTTTCTATAGAACAAATAGAAAGTCCCGAATCAAATCCAATAAATAAATAGAAAGTTTACCTAAAAAGACAATTACATACATTTAATATATCTGTAAAAATTAAATATGTAAAAGATATCCAGTTATCGATATCTTTATGTAATTTTAGTATCTATAATTTGTTTTAAAGCTTCGTACTGGTTAGTTCACTCCTTGTGCTATTGATAGTTCCATTTGACATATCTATTACCTCTGCACCACTTTCTTTGACTGCTTTGGTCGTGCTGAATTCTTTCAAAATAGCGACGAGCTCGGCATCTGTATAAACCACGTCAATCGTTTCTTTAGAGAGCGATTGCACGCTCCGTAGGATTTCCTTGGATGGTCGTAGCATTATCAAGCAATGATTCTTTTCCTTGAAGTCTCTCATCACCGTATTTAATCCCTGTGAATGTTCGAGACTCGATCAGTTTCAACCAAATTAACGAATTATGTTCAAACCTGTCCTAGATCTTACGTCTTTGAGCGATTGTTGAGCAATCGAATTCTGTCTTTTTTTTTTTTTTTCCTTTCTTTACCGTCGTAAAGTATATTAAAAAAAAAAGAGAGAGAGAGAACAAAAATTTCTACTGCGCTATTTTCTCTGTAAACACGATTTAAAATAAAGAAAATGAAAAAAGAAAAAAAAGAAGAAGAAATATCTTTGTAACAAGAAGAAAGAGGGAGGCTCGAAGAAGTAAAATCCAGGCCAAAGTCGAAGTTTGCTATTTAAGATTATTACACGTACACGCGCCGCAGTGAAATCAATTTTATCGATGTGCTTGCAGTCTAGAACGACAATTTTCGTGTTCTTGAAGGTTTTCAGTAATTTATGATGCTCATTAGCTAAGTTCTCTAACAGGTATATCCTCAGGTAATCCACCGCTGGAAATAGCAGTCCGGCGCTGGGACGCACGAGGATGTAGTTCAACGTAGGAGCCTGCGGTGAAAAAAAGAAAAAGAAAAAAAAGAAGTTTTGCGGCATATTTTTAAAAGAACAATAGTAAATCTCTTTATCAAGTGTTTGTCGATCACTGTTATGTACTTACATTTCTGTATTCAATATATATTGTCGGCCTGGCGTTGAAATAAATTAATATTGCCAGATCAATTGCCACACCTATTAAAATACCCAATTCGACACCGGCGAACAAGCATGCGAAGAATGTCGTAAAAGTCGGAATTAAATCTCGTTCTGAAATCGCAGAATTCATTTTCAATGTTAGAACATTTGAAAATAGTTTATGACGACAATTAACATTCTTCGGATGAACTGTGTACTAGTTGTGTAAGCTTTTATCTCGTTCATTGCAGGCGAAATGATTGAATTCTTAGATAGAAGTTTTAACGTTTGTGGCTTACTATACTACTATTTAGTAAAATAATGTTAATCGATTTTGGATTTATCAGATTTAATACAGTTTAATTGTTTAAAATTGTGTAAAAGTTATGGTTATTATAATTACAGTTTTCAATCGATCTTTGTTGATAAAATTTAATTCATTTTTTATATTTTCTAATTTAGATTGTTTAATCTAGTTCTTCGAAAATTTATATTGGCTTTACTTCATTAAATCGAAGTTTTATTACAAGTTTTATAAAAATTACACAATCTATCTTTTCATGATAAAAATAAAATAATTAACAGAAAATTAATAAGATGAAATAACTGACATAGGATATATTAAATCGATATTTAATAGACATAGTTTAACCAACACTTTCAATCACTAAATTCCGAATGATCTTAAATGCCTGAAAAATCAACCATTTCATTTGCAGTAATTTAGCAAGTTGCAATTTTTATTAATTTCATTTATTATAATTTATACTGGTTTTTATACTCACTGCTGCATTTCCAAATCGGCCGTAAAATTTTCACCTCGACCATGAATACCACCGCGCAAACAATTACGGAACTCAAGGTCGCTCTTGGAATGTAATAAAAATATGGTGTGAGTAAGCTTAGAGCAAGGATAACTAGAATACCTGCAATTTAAAAAATTTGCATTTCCTTTTGATCTTATAATAGCTTGTCTTTGTAATGGTAAAAATTTCGTGGCTACCTGTATAGATACCACCCAAGGGCGTTCTCACACCTGAAGCATTGTTCACTGCGCTTCTGGAAAATGAACCAGTGACTGGCATTGAATGGAAAAACGATCCAACAACGTTGCACAAGCCCAAAGTTAACATCTCTTGAGTAGCATCGAGCGACTCTCCTCGTGCTTTTGTCAAAAATTTAATTAGCGTTACGAAGAATAGTAACCACAGTGAAGGACATAACTGAACCAATAAATTTCGCGTAAATCGTTCTTTATTGCCGTTAATATTAATATACATAGAAAACAGACATTACAGAAACATTTTGTACAATTAACGTTAATCTGGACGATTTTCCAGAGTTGCAAATGTTTTTTGTTTGCCTCTCAGGAATATTAGATGACTCAATAGTATTTTGCGTTGTAGAAAAAATTGTTTTATTGTTATGCTCGTTGTATTAAATGAATAGTATGAATAATAAAATATAAAGATATTTTACAGAATGATTGATTAGATACAGTTGTTAGAATGATGTTAAATGTTTTATACAATTAAATTTTAATTGAATATAATTTTTTGAAAACATCATGGATTGGAAGCAAATAAATTTCTCATATCATTTGATAGATTTTTTTCAACGATTAATTTGTTTCAGTATTCCAAATTAAGCGAAAAACTCTTAAAAATGTTCATTGATATTGATTCTTGAGTTTTTAAGGAGAATTGATGAATTTATTCATGAATGAAGAAATTCATGAATAAAGTTCATCCTGATTATTGTAGAATTTTTTTACGTACAAAATACGTTCAAAATGCAATAAAGCTAAAAGCTTGTGCAAGATCATGCAATAAATATTAGTAAGTTGTTAAAGCTGAAGAATATATAAATATACAAATATGAAAATATAGATAGATATGTATATATTAATTGTGAGAAAAATAACTGAATCAATGGCAATTAAGAAAAAACATTTGCGACATTAAAAAATTGTTTGTATTAGTTATTTTAATTTTCCAAAATGTTTCTATATTAATCGTTTATAATAGGTTCAATTACTCAAAATATTTCTACATTAATTTACCTACATATATCTTTATCTATATCAATTTTAATTGACAAAAGTGTTTTTATTATTTTTGTTCCTATTTATACAATATTTATTATATATCTTTTTCATTTTTATTATTATACTTAAATGTTTATAAACTTGTGTGAAATACTATTTTTTTTTAATTTCTATTTTTGTGTATATATATATATATATACAAATACTATGTATAAAATATATAAAATCCATGAGATTTGCGCAACGCAACAAACATAATTCCAAGGATATGGATCTCAATTTATACAAAACATGTCTATCATTGCTTCAGTTATGCTCTTTATAACGTTTAAACAAAAAAATTAAACCATTTGAAAACTTACAGAATGCCTTCGCAATGGCGACATTGCCAATAATCGAGATCAACGGAACAATGATAATACCGGTGCCTAAATTTTTACACATATCGACGAAGGTTTCCGTCTGGTTTCCAACATTCCTGGAAAAAGATGGTGGATCAACGGAGGGTAGCCCAGAGTCGATATGACCCGTGAGGATGAAAGGTGCTCCACCGCGATTTTCGAAGGTGTACGACACTGCGGCACACAGAATTACCACGAGAGCGTTTCTACCAGTTCCAAGGAACCAGATCAATTTTCTAAAAATCCGATTCGAGACCTTGGCATCTTTGAGTTTCTGGAACGAGAAGAAAATACAAAGATAAAAGAAAAAGTTGCGCGGGTACGTAACATCTGTTCCCTTTTTTTTCGCTTGTCTGTCTCTTTCACTTCCTTTTTTTTTTTTTTATGTATTCACAGCGCGTATTCAAGAACTTGTTTTGCTCGATAAATTACCTTCAGGGTCAATAGAATTAGAATACAGCAGCAAGACAAGATCAGGTCAGGGATTTTAGTTCGGTGGACATTGTTGATCAATTCCCGCCAAATTTCGATGAAACTTTCCCCGTGTATCTTCAAGCCTAGCAAACTCTTGATTTGACTGCAGGCGATAATTAGACTGGCCGCCGACGTGAATCCCGAGACGACTGGTATGGAAACAAACTCTACCAAAAAACCCAATCGGAGAATTCCGAGCACTATCGTAACGCTTCCTGACAAAAAACACAGGAGGATGGCATACTCGGGAATACCTCTGAAACACCGTGGGAGGAGAAGAAGTTAAATGTTTGAAGACACATGGATCAAGTTATACTATAGAAAGCTATCAATTCTCAATGATTGAGTAAAATTAGTTTTAAGATTTTTATTTAAAAAAAAAGAAAGGAACTTTATTGGGTATATTTGATTTTTTGCTTGATTGCATTTTAATAGTAAGCATAGACAAGAGAGTACAGTGAGTAAACAATCTTCGTTCTATTAACTTTACATTAGTACAACTTTACAGTTACATAAAAATAATTTGATAATGCGTTTTATAAAATTTTTACTTTACACAAACTAAGGTTTTTGATTTATGTCATTTCTGCATTAACTTTTAACTGGTACCATTGGATACTCGAAATTTATATTTCACATTCCCTAATTTTAGAATTTTTTACTTGATTTAATTTTATTACTAATTTCTATTAGAAAAAATATAAAATATTACATAAAATTAAATGACTTGATTCTTTGTAACGTAATACGAATTACTATAGTACTTGTGATCTCACATCATTTAAGTAATTTATTTTATTGTAATCAGTTACCAGGGTTCGAATATAAAACTGTTAAAATTTTCAATTAGTTATCAAATAACTGTAATTTTATAACTATTGTCTTTTCTATTTCGAGGAAACTGTTATAAAATGTAGCGCATTAACTAACACTTCTATTTTATATATTTTTGTGCAAATAAGAAACTTTTATTTTTTTGATAGTAGAAAAAAAGTTTTAGTTAAACAGGAATATTTATTTCGCTCTGAGAAAAATCTGATCAAATAGATTTAAAATTAAAATCTTGAACCAAACCTTGGTGAAAACAAATCCGAAAAGATTCAAATATAAATGTATTGGAATATTGGATGGAAAAATATTGAATGAAGGATTGTTTTTAGTTGTAAATTAATACCAGCAGTTTATGGTGTTCATACAAGCTAATGTAGTGTGGGTATTTGGTGTTTTAAAATTTATTCACAATCTTATTAATGAAAATAGTTTGAAAAACATATCAACACTCCGAACTCTAAGTGAATATAAAGTTTTTTATCCTTTTATTTTTCCTCTTAATAAAATAAAACAATTATATAAAACTCACAATGTAGTCCTATATCTCTTCTACATTTATCGTGCTTTTAATTCCTTAAACAATGTTAACTAAAAAAATATTCCCAACTTTTGTGTTTTATCCTTAAATATCTTACATAAATAACTGAACTCTCACAACAAAATTAAATGTACAAAGTTAACTCAAAACACGATATAAAATTTAAAAATCGAATAAATAAGAGTTATTTATAAGAGTTAACAGTCTTCGTTCGATCTCTGGTTACTATTAATAGAAATTAATAGAGATTATCTAAATAAGGGCAGATCATGAACGAGCTCATCGAGCTCTTACAATCTAAGTCGCTAAGATGCAAATGGGTTAATGATTTACGTGGCTACAAAGATTCTCACGATAATTGCGTTTCAAAAGATAACAACATCTTTTCAGTCGCTGTTGAATTATATGATAGTTGCTCCAATTGTATGCCAATCGTATACGAGAGTCCAGCCATTGTGTCGGTCGATTAAGATTGCTCATTCATAGGCTCGTGTCTTAAATTAAGTTTAAAAGGGTCGTGTCTTCGCGAGAGTATGTAGACAGCTTACCTCGCGTACGTGTACGTTAGCAAAGAGATCAATGCAGTTGGGCCGATATTAACTTCTCGACAGGTACCAAAAATTATGTAGACGAAACTGCCAGCGAATGCGCTGTAAAGACCGTATTGCGGTGTTAAACCTGCCAATCCAGCGTACGCGATTGCCTGAAATCATAATTGTACCAAACTCAAGTTTCAAAAAATGCTTACAATTTAGAATTAAATATTTGAATATTTAAATACTTAAATACAGAATATGATTTGAATACGGTTATAAATATATAAAATGCTTGATCTGCTGAATTTGATACATTTTTCTTATGAAATATACAGCATGTTTTTCTTATAAAATATAAAGGGATGAAACTCCATGATATTTATTTTACTTTTGATAATAAAATATGTCTAACCAGAATTGCTTTTGACAGGCAGGTCGAAGATGCATAAGAGCACTTGCAGTTTTGAACATAGTTGTGACAAATAAAAATTCAAAACAAATGATCGAATGATCAGATCAGACAAAGCTAAGGAATATAGGATCATGATATGAAATTGAAAAGTTACACTGACAATGAGAGTAAGCATTTGCAATCGAAATTTAGTCTATTTATTATCAATAAAGAATTTACAAATTTAACTATTTATTTTTTTATTATAGATATTAATTTTTTATCATTGCATCATTTGGATATCAAGAAATAAATTAAATTAGAAAAATGATGGATGAATGAGGGTTAATTCATGGCAATAAAATCCTGAACAAATTGTGAATTTTTATACAGATTCATATTTTTGAGACTATGCCAATTTTCTTCAAACAGAACCACTTTAAGTGGGAAAATTTCATTTATTTTCTTAAATTTATTTTTTCAATAGAATCTAGAAACTATCTTTCTATGTATTCCACTGAAACGAAAACAGTTTACATAAAGCGATTTTAATCTAGAAATATAAATTACTGGTAAATTACTTATTATATTACAAAAAAAAAATAATAATAATTCGGAAAAGAAATGAATGATTGAATAAACAGTTTATCAGTAATTTGCATTTATAGACCAAATTGTACACCCTGTATATTTTTCATATTATGTAAATTCTGTGCAACTTTGCACTTTAGAATTTTTTATAAATACATAAAAATCCGCAGTTTAATCATAAATTTTAAAAATACCTGTGGTATTAGGGTCAGACCCACTGTCAATCCCGCAACTAGATCACCCAATGCATCTTTCGTTTTGTACAGAGGTAACCATTTCAGAACAGGGATTCTGTTCTTCAACAATTTTTTAAAACTGAATCCAGTCATGTCACTAAAAATTTTTTTTCACCTTAATTTACTTTTCTTTGACTTTCAACCGAATTATTTCAAATTTAGAAGTCGAGGAACGTTCTTCAATAATATCTTAAAATTGAATCCTGTCATGTCATTTTCTTCACTTATCGAATGTCTCTTCTTCTTCAAGTTTCAAAACACGTTTATAATAATATTTCAATGTGAGAAATAAAATTTCTAGCACTATAGAAAAATTCTTCTCAACTTGATAAATATTTCTTCAAAATTTCAAACAAGCTTCAACGAAACACTTCAACTTTCAGTTGATTTATAACAATAATAATAATCGAATATTTAAACACTAACAATTTAACAAATTTTCTTTCAAGTTCCACCAAGTACTTCAAGTTTTAATGCATTAATAATAATATTCAGCAGCACTAAAAATTTCCTTCGATTCGACGAATTTTTCTTCGACTTCAATCAGACTTCATTCAGATCCAGTTCGTTTATAACAGTAATTTTAGCACTAAAATAATTTCTTCAATTTAACAAATTTCCCTCCGACTTCAAATGAATGTCATTTATAATAACAACGTTTCAACACATTTGTATTAGTCATACAACATAATTTATAAACCGGAAAGTACAGCACGCTTGAGTGACTCAATTTGAATGATAGACCTTGGAAGAACTTTGATTTGAAGTTTCGATCGGCACTCCGTCATACTCCATCGGCGTGTCTTCTTATTATGCGAGCTGCATCGTTTCATTAACCTAAACCAAACGCGAGCCTTCTTTCAATTCAATGGCAATGAAATAGAGCCGGCAATTAACGGTTCACCGAGCGACAATCAGTAAGTGTAGTAAACGCTTCAGGTGATTTACCAGTCACCTGATGCGCTTACGTGAAAACGTTTAAGCACGTGATCCTCTAGTTTCTGCGAATGTGCGATGCCTCACAATCTGTTTCACTTTTTCACCGTTTCACCGTTCACCATGAAGCTTTCATTCCACGGTTTCACTTTCTTCCGTCACCAAGAAAGCATCGCGATGGATAGTACGTATGTACCATGAAACTGTAATTAAATAATCTAAAACTGCAATAAAATTGAATAAAAAATTTAAAACTATGATCTGGTCTAGAATTATAATCTAAATTAACTAAATAATATGAGTATTTTTGACTTATAGTTTAATCTAAAATTGTAATCCAAACTAGATAAATAATTTAACACTGCAAATGAAACTAAATAATCTTAGACAGTTATTAAAATTGAATAATTTAAAATAATCTAGACAATTGTTCAAATTAAATAATTTAATAAAAAATCAACAAGAAAGATCAATTCGAAAGATCAAAAAAACAAAAAAAAAAACAGGAGAAATCCACCGACCGATGTATCGTCTCGTACCTGTTCTACACACTGATTAAATCTACAGCTGTTTCACACGTGGTTGGCTCTCCCACCATCAGTTTCGAACCTACCGATCGTCAGAATGCGAATGTATGCGTCGATCCTTCTTTAAACAGACTTTAAATGGGTTCGTCAAACGCAGATTATCGCCAATTTACCAAACAAACGTTGGGCGTTTTTTTTTCAACTCGTATCCAGGTCTCTTAGCATTCTTCTGAATTTCCTGTTGGTTTGTCTGCACTCCATTAAACATCTGAGTTTTTTTTTTTTTTTTTGTTTCTTGAACTAGCCCTTTTTTCGCATTGTCCTTTTTATAATTCACTCTTACATTGATGAAAAATCGTTAACTAGTTCTGACTATTAAATATAGTTACAGAGATACTTTTATTATCGTGGAGATATAGTTTTAGAGATATTTAGTAGACATTACGGTATAGAGAAAATTTTGTTCTTTGAATTTTGATATTTTATATTAACAAAAATAATTTATACGAATTTATACTTTATACTGATTGCACTCACGTGTCTTTTTTCTTTTAAATGGAATTAAATATGGAAGAATCAAATACAAAGTCGTAATAATGTTACACCACTCGTCTTCATTGACTTTTAACAATCAAATCTTACATTCATTTGCACTGTATGAGATTTATATTTTATTAATATTTATAACTCATAATTCATAACTTATTTATTTGCTCACATATTAAGATTTATAATTTATTCATTTATTTATATATTAAGATTTATAATTAATTAATTTGCTTGGATTATGTATCAAAATTTGTAATTTATTTGTAATTTATTGATTTATACATACTACATTTACAATTTATTCATTTATTTATATATGGAAATTTATAACTTATTTATTAATTTATATATAAAGATTCATTATTTATTTGTTTATATATTAAGATTCACAATTTACTTACTTATTTATTACATAATTTATTCATCACAAAATCGACGTGATGTAACATTTTGAATTCGCACTACACTTTACGTCTTACACAATTAATAAAATATACCAAAAAACTTAACAAAGATCACGGTTCGCTAAAAACGATAGAAATGATTAAGACACTCTATTATTATACTTCACAATTAAACGTGCAACGTAATAAGACGATAAGTACTGTGAAAAACACCGGCACCAGTTCAGAAACAAGCGGAATTGTTACAAGAAACAATTACAACCATCGTAAACGTTCAATTGTTCCAACAGGTGATTCTTTCCGTGGATTATTGTGGAATGTGTCAATTATTTCGATATGCAGATACGTTCCACTGCATTTCTTCACGATTTTTTTCCTCATCTTTCTTGCTGGAATTCTTTTTACCAATGTGTTTCTTGTTCCGAGAGAATGGTTGTTAAGACAAGTTCTTGTCGTTGGACACCGTGTGCATGCCTATAATTACAAGGACGTTACGTGGTCTTGAACGACGATGTGTTTTACATGTTAACGCGACTCGCGTAATGATGAATGTACGAAACTAAAGCAGAATTTAGTAACAGAATAATTTTATGAGCGGACGTGTCGTGAAATTTCCTCCAATTCTGAATTATAGATTTCTGCAATCCCTGAAAATTGGATTCGGCTCACTCACGATTCTCTACGTTTTATATGATTTTATTATAATTAAATTTAATTTACAAGTTTTATTAACTATCAAACATATTGTTATAATATAGTAATTCGTAATAATATATTATTAATTACAATTATTATCTTATTAAATTTATATTTTATATGTTTTGTATAATTAATAATAATAATATTATTATTATCAATAATAATATAAATTTTTGCGGATTTTTGTGGATTTATGGAAAATTGGAAGATGTAGAAATGTACATGATGTATGTATGCAATATGCAAAAATATATAAAATACTCAAAATAGAATTTTTATTCTAAATAGCAAATAAAATAAACTTTTATTCAGGTTCTTTTCTTTAGCTGTGTTCATAAAAATTTTAAAAACGCATAAAAAATACACAATCCATTTACTACTATTGAGTATTTATTGTAATAGAGATAGAATTTATCATGCGTAATAAGCAATTGAGAAACGATTGCATGTCCATTTGGATCGTTAAAAATGTTGTTAATTAACTTAGTATTATATAAAAAGAAAAATTAGAAAAAACAACAGGCATGATAAAACACTGTTTAAAAGTTTGTAAAATATTGAAAATTGTGAAAAAAATTCAATGAATAATTCACTAATCAAAAGCTACATAATACTAATATTGAAATATAACGCAACACGTTTCTATATTTGAGATCTGTTTTTAAAAATTGGAATTGGATTGTAAAATAATAATATATATATTCGAAAAAAATAAAATCTGAGAAAGAATAATTCTTTATATTTGAAAACAAATAAAAAATGTTTATGAATATTAGTACAAAATTCAGATAAATAAAGAAATAGAAAAATATTTATAAGTCCAATTTTCTGTAATTTATTTTCAATAGTGTAATAAATATTAGTGATAATGATATTCCTAACAAAATATTTGTAATATTGTTCTTATGCAATATTGTGGTTTCTTAATTAAATTCCAGTATTTTGTTATATATTATTTATGTGTTTTTTGCAGAAATTGTTTATGAAAATAGCTTTTTTACTAGCTACATACAACAATTTTAAAAAATTCTAAAGTATTATAATAAAATGTGCTATGTCCCTATAGTTTCATTATGAAACAAATTTATTATTATTTATAAAAATATAAATAGCAAAAATGTCACACATGAATTAGATATCACGAATGAATAATACAATGTATTCTCCAGATATATTATTAGTACATGTCTCTATTATATTGTATATTATGTTTTATATACTAATTGTATATTATTGTATTATATACTAATTATGTACTGTATATTAAATATTATAATTATAATATATTATATAATAATGCATAACATTAAACAATTACAATAATATTGATCTGCTATTGCAAATTTTACAATATTTTGAAAAAGAGAAACAAAATGATAATACAAGTATAATTATTACTGAATTAATACGAAAGATTTCTGGTTAATTTCGCATAGTGATTTTGAAAACAGACTAGTAGATTATGTGAAAAAACCATGAAAACATAATTTAATTGAATAAATAAATCAATAAATGAAAAGAAATAAATGCGTTGTTTCTGTTGCTTGAAACTGTAGAAGAACTTATAAAATATAGCTTAATTATAGCGTAATATAGCGTAATTATTATAGTTGACAACAACTGATATTTATCATCATGATGAAGGAAATAATTTTGCCTGCACTTGTGAATATTACGGAATTGCAATATGAGATCAGAATATGTTTGTAAAATACAAATGTTGAAACAGTTCGAACAAGACTATTCTTAATAGCAGGCAATATATCAGTTGTCATTGAACACTTTATTGAAAAATATCATTGAAGAAGACAGAAAAAATTATGAATTATTTTCTTAAACGTGTTCGAGAATTTGATACACATACATCAGTCTTGAAATAGAAATCGATTACGCGATTATTAATTCTTATTAACGTGTTTTTTTCCGGTAAAACTCATTAAGTTAGTGTCATTAATATAAAATACGTCCGTTCTGAATTTCAAGTCAGATAATATTTTTAAAAATGAAACGAGATACGTACATGATGACTAATGATTGAAATTTGAATTTAAAATTAGTCAGGGTGTTTGTAAACAAGATAAATTGAGATCGTCTTTAAAAATTGAATTGAAAAAAATTATATTGTCATTAATAGTTAAAAATTATGTTATAAAAAGTTAAAAATTATGTTACTTTAAAAAGTTAAAAATTATATTATAAAAAGTTAAAAATTATGTTACATACGTATTTAATAATAATAGTAATAATATATAACATATATTAATGATAACATTTATTATAACGTGCTATATATATTATATTATAATTTAACATATTATGTAATATATAATTATAATATAAAGAGAGAAATTTATAATTTATTACGTTTGAGTTTGATTCTATCTTTTCATTATCATTTAATAATATATAACGCAGTATATATCTTGGAAACTTTAAATTTTTAATTTCTTTTTCTTTTGTACCTAATCACTCACTATCACTGTTTCAAGTTGTACTTATATTCCTTGTTATTTGCAGGAAAAATCACACGTTCTAAAATTATCTATGCTTCATCAGTTAACAACATGTAAATCCAGGAGACTATCAAGATTTAAGCAAAAATATGTTTTATAATTTGCTTATAATTTTGTAACGAAGCGTTTGCCAACAAATTTCATAAATAAGAATGATTAAAAGTAAGGATTCCTAATCTATTCATACATTGTAATGCATTGTAATGCCTTTGTTATAGCATTTTTGTTTTTCTATTACTTTTTAATAATGACAGATATTTATATATTTTTTTTTTATTTGAATCTATAAAATATACGTTTTACCTATATAAATGTACATATACAATGTACAATAATATATAATTATATGCGTATGATATATATAATATTATATTATATTTATGTACAATATATTATTATATATACATTATATAATAATACAATAAGTACAGCATAAATGAAATGTCATTTATAACACAGACGAAGTAGATGAATAATTCTGATATACAATATATTTTTTTGCTCCAATAGTCGTAGGGTCCTAGGATCCCATTACCATTTTCGTGTCACATTCTGCCATACCGATTTAGGCAAGTTTTGCACTGCAGCGCAACTAGTGATGGGAATTAAAAAAAATATGAACAATTGCACAGAGAATTATTTATTGAATTGAACATAATGATACTTTATTAATAAAAATTGATGGAAATTAGGACAAAAAATTTATTATATATTTGATACATCTATTTGTATTAGAAAAAAATTGATTGAAATATGATATTTTTATGAATAATGTAATTAGATATGAATTAAATACCTAGTCTATCTGTGTCTCATCTGTGGCGTTTCTTGGATAGCCCACTTTCATTTATACTTCATTAATAATATCATTCCATTAGTACGCGTGTTTGACGATTTATTGAGCATTAAGATAAATCGAATAAAATTTTGAAGCTTTTCATGCTGATTTTTCTTCGATCATCGATTTCACTCTCATCGGTTAACTTGTCTCGTACGCTTTTTTAAACAGAATTTGAAGTTGAGTATTGTTTCACTTTTACATATTTGCCTTCAGTTAATATATTTGTTCTAACTTTTGGTTTCTTTTTGTGCAGGTTATTCCT